ATTCTGAGGCACCTTATCATGCTCTCTCTTTTTGAAACTATTATTTCAATATGAAATACTTAAACTTTTGGTTGGTCTGAGAGAGAACAAAATGAGCATACGTCCCTGACTACTGGTGGGGAGATCTGTTCCAGGTCTGAAGGGGGACTGGATGTAAGGGAAGGTCTCACTTCATGGATATGTGTCCTGTTTGAAGTCTGCTTTTTTCCCCAAGAAGAGACTCATTTGTCATAGGCAGCCAATGCTAGAAGAGAATTTACATCTGTGAATCCTCAACAGCACCTCCTTTCTGTGTACCTAGCCTTTCTTGAGGAGTCACATTCCTCACTGGCCGGTGTGGGTAGCTCCCACTCAATACGTTGGTTTCCTGAATCCTGTTCCTGGGCACCCTTTGGCGAGAAGCCCGAACTCCCCAAATGCCAAAATGCTGTTTTTTAAAACCATGTAGGAATGAGGCACTGCTCAACACTAGGGAATTAAGTGACATCAAGTGGCACTTGTGTTGTTTTTCTTGTTTTCCAGTGGGGTTGCAATGCATGAGTGCAAATATTGATTTAAAATGGCTTTGGCTGCTTGGATTAGAAGTTTATACAGACATAGGAATGCCAATGTTGAGAAACAAGGTGAAGTTAAACTGCCATATTGACTTCTGGTGCTGTAGCTACTAATTTTGCATGGAGTGAAATAATACGAAGAGTCAGTGCAGAACAACTATTCTGTTACCCGCTTTTATTTAAATGTAAATCTTATGATGTGGTTTTTGCAGGTCTATCTGTGTCATTAAAAATAGGGCTTCGGGGCACTGTGATAAATCCTCTGGCTGATGTCCCTGACAGAAGGCAGACTCACTGGTCAGGAATGGTTTAGATAGTTACATAAGCATCCCTGTAAATTTCCAGTGGTGGAGCTTTTGCAGCCTCCATAAGCTATGTGTTTCCAGGCTCATCTATTCCAACCACCAGAAAGATTTTCCTTATGTCAAAATTTCTCCTGTTGTGATTTTCAGCTTGCTACTCTTCTCACTGAGCATAGGAAGACTTTCTTTCTTTCCTCTATATGAAATTTTGTCATTTTTCTTCATGGTCTTTTCTAGACTGCATAACCCTGATTCTTTAATGAATTTCATCAGAAATCTGAAAGACTTCTACTACATTCACATTAGTCTAAATTGTTCTTGAAGTACAATACTCAAAATTGGATGCAGTATTCCAGCTAAAAGTCTCATCTGTATTGACTACAAATGAAAGCTTACATGTAAAATATGTAAGAGTCTATTTATTCATCATGTTGTAAAACTGTTGCAAAATCATGCAAGTGGGATATTGAGTCAAGTTCAAATTTCTCTACTGTAATCCCAAGAAACTTTTTGGAGGAGCTGATACACTGTCATACTATTTATTCGGGGGGGTTGGTAGTTGATCATTCCTACATGTAATACTTCATCCTATTTATTTCAGGTAACTGGTGTTGATAAATTGAAAATTCCTCCTGTCCTCTAAAAAGCATTCAGTTTGTACCTTGGAGTGTCTCAGATTTTATGTGCACTCTAGTAGCATCTGCATCACCTATGAAAATATAAATAGTTTTATAATCAGGTAGACTACCATGAAATTATCTAATACATTATTCTTAGTCAATCATTTCATGTTTTAAAATGGGTTTAAGGGGAGACTAGAAGAGAAATCCATTGTGAAGTACTAACACATGGGAACCACATCTGGCTCTTAAAAGTTAAGATTATTAGAAGGTCCCACACACGCATCCCCTATCCTTAGGCTGTACCCTAGGCATCCACTTTAAACTGCCTGTGAGAGACACTATATGGCTATGCGGGTGAGAACAGATCTATTTTTTGCTGCACTTCTGTTCTTATGGCTATAAATCATTGATACTTAATTATGTAATCCAGCTTTTCAGTCAGTTGTGCCACCCTTTGTATAGACTAGAGGAAATAATTGTATTTCCCTGCATTGTTACAAAACTGGCATTTGAAACAAAAGGTCCAAATTAATACATTTTTTTTGCTTTTTCCCTATCCATAGCACTTGCTCAGTTCAGAAAACTGGGGACATGTGACATGATGCCCACTGCTGGTTCTATGCCAGGGTTTTTTTCCCAGCAATTGAAGTTAGATTGATTTGGTCTAAAACTCTTTGGCTTCTCCCTTGTTAGGCACCACACTTTTCATTTCCTTCCCCACCTCTTAAAATCCCACCTACTCTGCAAAATTCTCCAACACAATCGCTCACTGTGCAGGTGACTTCAGAGAGGTCCCGCACTGCCCTTCCCTGGGAGATATGCAACTACCTTGCTCCAGATGGCTGCCTTGAAAATAACACAGACCCCCCCATACTGACAATATGATGATAATTTTAACACCTGGAGACTTTCAGCAAGGCCATCCCTTACTGCAGAGAATTCCACTTGGCTCCCTAATTCTGTCACGTTTTCCAAATCAGAGAAAGGAAAAGATTTAGAAATGCTGCAAGTAGTATTCTGTGTTGTATAGTTCTGCTGTAGGTAATGTAGATGTTAATACTATATAAACTGTATCTTTCTTGTATATAGAGATAATTGCTTATCATTAAGGTAAAAACATAGCCACAACTGTTACTATAATCTAAACAGTTTAATCAGATTACAGAATAGGAAGCTAATAGGTTGACTGCTAGATTAAAATGGAAATGCCTAGAGCTCCTCTACTGTTACATTTTCATCACTTGTAAACTCCCACCTCTCTCTGCTTTGTGATGGAGATACCACAAGAGCAATATTCCCCCTAGTTTTCTTGAAGGCACTGCGCCATTTACATTAGTGTTCTTTGCCAGGTGAAGAGTGATGTCCCATCGTCTCTAAATATTTGTGCTGTTTAGTGTGACACTTTTACAGCGTAACTGGCACTACACCTCCCTGCCACTTTTTATTTGCATAATTAAACATAAGTGGTTTGTTGTGTAGTTTGCCTAAACATCTGTAGTACAGATATTGGCACATGGCAAATAAGTGAAAGATGGTTATGAAAACCGAGAGTAAGAGAGAAAGCTTCACAAGCAAGTAAATAATGAGAAGTCGATTCCTTTGATATAAGAAAAATAACAGCCATCTTTCAATTGTTATTTTACAAGCAGCTCTCCTTGTGTAAAAAAAGTCAATTGTTATGCTGTTTAGCTGTCTTTCCAGCCACATTGCATGAAACACATCTACTTGCTGTTTACACAGAACACTATGTGAAAGCCAGGATTTATAAATACGCTAGTATTGGTGAACCCATGTATTATTCTAGAAGCTTCCTTAGACCAACACCTTCAAATGATACAGACTTCACAGAATTTCTGCTAAGTTGAAATTCAGTTATTTGAAATGGGCATAACTCAGAAAAAACTACTGAAATTGTAACTACAAAGTGCTTGAAATAAGAGCATTTTTTTTAATTACTTCCTGGCTTACAGAGAGCTAAACTTACAGTTAAACCTTAGCATTAAGATGAGCTCATTAGGCATAAACCTCTACTTCCTACATAGAGAGAAGCAGCAGATGTTTTTCTTCTTCATTTACTTTTAGTATAAAAAATAATTTTCAGTCTTATACTTCTTAGCTTCTGGAGTGAAAAAAAGCAGTGATACGATCGGCATGTTTTATCAAGTGGGAGATTTACATGTGACTGAAACCAACTATACATTATGACAGTATTTCTGGTTCCGCCTTCAAAATAGGTCTTTTGATGCACTAGAATGTAATTTTGGTGGTTTTCAACATATACCACACTGATGATGTGTATAAATTTATCAGTAAGGGTTTTTTTGTGCTTAGGTCTACTGTTCAGCAGGTAGGACTGAATGCATTTTTGAAGTTTGAAGAGGTGCTGAAACGAACAAAATTTTTAAAGGTTATCACATTATCAACTTTGAGTGTCCCTCTATAGTACCAGCTTCTAATGAGGAAAAAAAAAAAGCATAAATTATTTTATGCTAATTTAAGAAAGCCTCAGAACTACTGAAGAGTGATGACCTATAGCCAGCAACTTATTTCATCTATAATACATAGAAGATTAGAATTTCCTTCTTGCAGAAACTATGCTGAGTATGCAGCTGGGAATAGGATACTAGCTGATTAATGTGTTGTTAAGACAGTTAATTTAAACTTCCAAAAGTAGTTTAGTTAGAGATTAAAATTACTAGGGTGCAATGAAGAGCGTAGCTATCCTGAAGTTAAAAGATGTTTAGAAAATCAAACATGAAATTAAGACAATTTCCCTCATGGCAAAACCTTGAGATTCTGAAGAATAATTTATGTTTAACTTGCTAGTTCATCATGTCTTTGATCAGAAAACCTGTTTCTACAATCAAGCAAATTGTCAAACACAAATATCAGCCTGAGACATGGTCAGTGAAATCGAAAAGTGAATAAATAGTGGCCAATACAATAGATTTGGCAAAGATATATCAGGTATAAAGATAATAGCTTTTAACATTTTCTTTCTGTCTCAAGCACACTGGATTTAATTGATAACAACATCATTTGCTATTATAATAGTTATTGAAAACAGGTTGGAAGACACCCTCATATTTAAAAGAATAAGGTTTAACACCATCAGAGATCAGGGTGAACACTATGGGGTAAATGCATGCAGTTTTGCAGCAAAGCATGATAGAAAAAGCTGATTCTAGCTAGCAATCAGAATCAGTATACCAGAGAAAGCTAGACCTTGGGTATTTCACGGTCCTCAGCAAACCCTAAACTAGTAAAAGTGGCAAATTTATCTTAACTAGTGTATCTTTGTAAAATTTCCTCACTTCAGTAATTTTTGTGGAAGGAACTGTTTGTTGGACTTAACTGCAGATGCAAGGAGCAAAATGCTGGTAACAGATCCAGGATTTACAGTAGGTGCCAGAAGAAAACAGTGATTGCAAATCCATAAGGGAATTTTTTTCTAATTTGCTGCAAATGTTTATTGCTAATTTGTTTTCTGTATTAATACCAAAATACAGTGACACTTCAAATCCACTAGAGCAATTTATTAAAAACTGCACTTTTAAACTGGGACATTTGTCAAATGTAACAGATTGAATAACTGACATTTCCCAACTTTAACCTCTAAAATACTGATGTGCAAACAAGTTTACTCCAGCATAATTCTATATCTGAACTTCAAAAATGGTGTCTGATATTATCTGAAATATAAACCAAGGAAGTTGTTTTTTTCAGTACCAAGGAAGTTTGTATTTGCTAGGAAGTTTGTTTTCCAAATGACTCTTTTTTTTTTTTTTTTTTTTTTTTTTTTGATAAGAGGAGCTTAAACCTTGGTCTGCATTTTTATATGAGCTCTAAGTCACCCCTGTGGTTCAAGAAAATAAGCTACTTATGATTCATATTTTCAACATGAATCTAAACAGCAAAGATTTAACATGACCCTCCTGAGTTTTAATGTATCAAGACAGTGATACATTACATATGTATACAATACATATAATACATGTATGCACACACTGTACATATACACCCACCATGTATATATAAATATATATAGTGCACCTACTAGGGCCAAAAGCCTTTTGCAGCTGTCAGTTACAGTACAAGCACAATCATCAGGATTCACCAAGAAGTGGATATGCCAAACATTAAAATAAAGTCTGACACAATAGGTGTGCTTTTACTGTTCTCATTTTTAATAGTGCAAAAAAATAAGTCAGTAATTTACTACTTAATAATATTCCTAATTCTAAAAATATTTTCATTTGCAACCAAAAATGCAGTAGCTGTTTTTTGCAAAACCATCAGGTAAAATATTTGAGGCCAAATAAATTACTATAATGTTTTTGTGGAAGTGAATAATAAAACTAGTAGTCCTGTATAGAACATTAAGAAAAAAGCTTTAAAAAGATCTTTTGCCATTGTAGAAGAGCATATTGGCAGTGTGTGTAAAGCAAATGTAGTAAGTCCATTTGAAGCTCAAGCTGTACAAAAGTCAATATGTGCTAGTAATTCTCTATGTTGGCTTGTTGGATACTGCACTTTACATCTGGGACACTCGAGAAAACTTTCATCAAGAAGGCTTGAATGTTTCAGGGAAGGACTTCTGTCATACACTGTCAGCTTCTCTTCAAACTCAGCTTGCAAATCTTCTTGTGGTTCCATACATCCAGATTCCTGGAGTTTCTGGAAAGGGAAGAGCTTTAGTGTAAGACTGGAACGTGCATGTGCTGATCAAATACTGGAGGAAAAAATATTAAAGTCTGATGGCATACAAGCCTTGTGTGTGTTACAGCACTAAGGGTAGAATTTTAAAGATTGCTAAATGCAGTTATGCTACTCACACTGATAACAGAGGGCCTGTTGTACAATTCTAACATCACATTTAAATTAGATTGTAGGTAGCTTTTCGGCAGACTATTTAAGACAGGATTCCTACAGTGTCTAGACTGGGAATCCTTCCCCAACCATCCTCCTAGCCACTCACACGCTATCTTTCCTTAATAAAATGATGCTTTGGTCCCCTCTACATAGGGTGCTGACTGGTTACCTTCTCAAAACTCTACCGTAATTTTCTCTTCTCATCCTGATCCCATGCATGAAGTTCCTGTGCATGAAGACTGTCCCTAAAAGGTACCCAGTTGTCCATTTGGCAGCTACTACTCCAGCTTATCGTGGAGAAACTAAAAGCTGTAACTTCCCTACTCTGCCTGAGCTTCTGCTCTATTCCCAGCAGGCAGGTTTTTCAGTGGCCTCCCCTAGCAGCAGCAGCAGCAACTGCAGTCCTAGCAAGTGAGGCTCTCTGAGGGGCAACACATGAGTGAAGAACATTAGTATCTCAGGATTCATTCCATTCCCCTTCTTCGTTTGAGAAAACACTTCCACATTGCATACAACTAAGCAGGAGAGCAGTCTGGCAGTCACAGAATTCCTCTCATCTGCAACTTGTTAGGAGCTTTTGCATTTATCTTTAAAAATCACAGCAGCCCTTGAACCTCATTTAAGTTCAAAACTGCAGTTTTGACAATCTTATTCAGCTATCACCTAATCTTAAAAGATACCTTACAGTAGAGTTCCAGAAGCACCAACAGTCAAAATACATTCCTGCTCAAGACCAGGGCAATCCTGGGTACAACAGAGCAAAACAGATTGATGGCTTGCTTAATACATAATCTTTCCCTACAGATTTCTCCATTAAGTCTAGGGCTCAAATCTGGGTGACTTTCTCTGGGCTTATATAATAAGCAGCAAACAGACCACAGTTCTCACAATACAACACGTGTTTTTTTATTGTAGTAAGGAGTTCGTCTTTTTGGAAATTAAAACCCCAGGTTTCAGTGACCCACCCATCCTGTCTCAGGTAGTGGTGGGGAAGGAACTCAACTTCTAATATTTAAGGATTGTGTCCTGATCACTAGCAGCAAATCTGAGTAGAAGCATATGGCAGCTTTGTCATTGTGCAACAGACAAAATTAGGTAACTGTGTTTTGTATCACAATGTGTAATGTTTCCTGCTCAGGAACATGACTATTCTGGATCTCCTTCTACAGTTATCTGTGCATGCTGTAGAGAAAAAACAATGCCTAGCTAGCTGATGTAGGTTTCTGCACCTTGGGGCCACATACCTAAAAGATATAAGGACCTACAGTGAATATCTGATGACATTAACAGAAGACTCACTGGCTCAAAATAAGATCCCAAAGTGAAAAGATGTACATTTATGTGAAATCCCTGACTAAATTCACCTGCAATTTTTTTGGCACATACCAGAGGTTCCAGACGGTTTATTTGCTCCCTGGCTTTGCGCAGTTCCTTAAGCACTTTGCTTAACTGATGCTGCAAGTTCTGGCGATCAAGCTTTTCATTCTCAAAGTCTGTGGTGCATATCTGGATCTGGCAACCCCCCAAAATGAAAAAGAATTAAAAGTCAGAATTATTGGGGGGGGGGGGGGGGAGGCGGGGAGAGAGAAATGTTTCTCCTTTATATATTTCAAGTAAGTTTTACTCTGAAATCATATCCTAAAATGGGATTTAAATAATAATAATAAAACTTTGTTGCTTTCACTACAGTGAAATTTATACATGCCCAATTATGAAAATTTTTTCCCTTTGTAGAGGTGGAGTTTGAAGTTATTCTGGTTGGAAGGTACTTCAAGCTGTCTTGCAGTCTTAAACAGAATGTTTTATAGAAAAGCATATACTGCAAGTTCTCATTAAAAATGCCAGTTTCTACTCTAGGATCTTTCTTGGAGCAAGACAATTTGGACATAAACTATGGGCAACACTGTACACCCAAGCTTAGCAAATAACTCAATAGCAATAACACCAATTAGGTCTGTAAGAATGTACTTGGAAAAAATAAAGATGGAAAAGATTGCAATGCAATTATTTGTATAACGTTATCAAGAGCTTATTACAAAATGTCAATGAACTGATTGGTTTTAGGATGTTTCCCATACCTAACCTGAGGCTGTACAGTTGAACAAGTGATTGTGGAGAAAATATCATCAGGTTCGATCACACTCTCTTATCTGTAAAAGGTTACAGATTTTCCTCGACAGATGTGTCAAAATTTTTGGAAGCATCAAGATATTTTTCACAGTTGATTATTCATGTCTAATATTACTTTATTTAATATACTGAGTATTAGCTAATAGAATACATTCTTAAATTTGAAGTCAGTCTAGAAAGCCTTTGTGCATAATACAGATTAAGTGTCAGCATCTTCACATATAATTGGGTACCTGCTGTTCCAATAAAGCTATCCTAGAGTGTTCCTCCTGCTGTTTGAGCAATGATTTATGAAGAAGTTGCACCTACAAGGCAAAAAAAAAAATTTGTAACAAATAACTTCCCTATACAACAGTTAATAAGCTTAATAAATAATTAATCTGAAAAGGGATGGACATAAACTTTTATATTCCAGTGCCAACAGAAAATGTATGCCTATTATGCAACAGCCAAACTAAATTCAAATATCTCTACTTCCCCAGGGAAAACAACAGGGAAATATTATTATTGCATAAAGCAGGGGGAATGCAGAATGATGCTATAGTTCAAAAAAGTCAAACTGAACTTTTCTAAGTGATTGCCAGGATGCAAACAAAAATACACAACACCTGTGTTTGCACTAACATGCCATGATATTAAAAAAACCCAAAACACACACACAAGCAATGCAACTTTCTTTTTTAATATAGAACAAGTTTAAGACTCAAAGTACTATACTGTAATGGATTAAGTAAATGCATACATAAAAAATATCCTCCATTATCAGCATGTATCAATTTTACAGTGAATGCTGATGTTCAGCCGAAAAAAAATAAATCACCTTTTAATCATTATTAACCAGTGAGAATCAGCCTGCGTTTAAAGAGTTAAACTGTTATTCTGGTTTTAGCCTGCTTTCATGCCTAGTAAATTTTATTCTCATATTTCAAATTTCAGTTCTATATTGCTTTGGTTTTGACCCCAAATTCCTGCAAGTAGCAAGTCTATCATATTTGGATGCCTTGAGGACAGTCCTTCAACAAGGACTTTACAGTTTCTCTTCAGCAGTTATGTGGTCATGATTTCACATCCAGAAGAAGAAACAACAGATTATTTTTCTTGTTAGCATCACCATGCTGATAGGAACATTCCAAGACACCACTGTAACTCACCATGTAGGGGAAGTGGCAAAGTCCTCATGAGTATTCCAAACAAGAGGAGGTAAGCACTACATATTTTTAAATAGAAACAAAGATATCTTCCCCCACCTCTGATCAGCCAGAGTGGGGCTCAAAGTCATTGGGCTCAAAAAAAGAAGGAATTAAGAACTTCACATATGAACAGAATTACTTCACTGGTCATTAAGGTACTTTCTGGGAGATGGGCAAGCCCTTTGAACAATTAGAATCTGATGCAAAGCAACAGAACAGATCTGGCAATAGCATAAACCACATATATTGAACAGCCTGCTTGACAGGCCCTTCTTAGGCTTTATATGGAATTACAGAACTCTTCCAAGTGGTTTCTACCATAGCCATCTTCAGGACAGTAACAACTTAAGGTCCATCTCTTCCCTTGCTCATCTGGCCATCACTTTCTGGTACTTGGGTGTACCTGCATAGTTCTTATCCACAGCATCACATAGAAAACCAAATGCAGGAACCCATCTGAATGGAAAACCAAACTAAACAACCCCAGCTGCACGGCCACGATGGTTGGCTGGGTGCACTATCCAGGGACACTTCTAAGGATTGTTTATCCAGTAAGTTTGAAACTATAAGCCCACATGTGCATTTGTAGCAGCCAGGTGACAGCAAGTATCAGTGATGTTCCATAGTTGGGACCACTTGATAAAATAGCCTGTGTCAACTTGAATTTTTACCTTTCCTGTTCTCATTTACCATTAACCTTGAGGATAGACTAGACTGGAACCAATTAAGTATTCTCTCGCTTCTCCCTCTTGTGTCCCACAAGACCAGGGAAACAAGTGAACAAATAAGTTCCTTGTTTAAACAAAGAAGTTTCACAAAAGTTTTTATTTTGATTCAAACCAATATATTAAACAAAGAATTCTGTTTTAACCACAAGGACTTATGTCTAGGTATACTTAAAGAGCAGTTACCAGAGCAAGTGAGTGATGCTCCATTCTGAATAGGTATGACTTTTCAGCTTTCTTGATTCTTTGCTAATGATCTTAAACCTCCAAATGCATCAACTTACCTGACATAAAAGATCCTCAGACTTTTTCTTTTCTTCTCTGAGCTGTCCTTTAATAGTTTCATTTTCTTGTTTTAGTTGCTGTACTTTCTCTCCTTTCATTTTATTTTCATTTTCTAGAGTCTTCATTTCAGCAACCTGTTGTGACTGCAATAAGGCATTTAAACTCATTATTTCCCGTTGTGTTTCCTCATACTTCCTTTTGAATTCTTTAAGTTCAGATCTCAGCTGGGTTATAGTGCATCTTTCAGTCTCAAGGTCACTCTTAGCAGTTAGTAACAGCTGGTCATAGCATTTTTGCTTTTCCTCTTGTAGATGACCTTTATGAGTCAGAAATAATTGAGATAGTAATTGGGGGGGGGGGGGGTAGGGGGGGAGGGAAGGAAAAGGAAGAAAAAAAGAAGGTGCTTAAAAACCAGAACACAAATCCTTGACAGCATTGTAAGGCAAACTAATAGCTCAGATTGGTACCAAACTTTCATTAAAACAGCTTTCAGTGCTTCTAACGCAGTGAAGTCTCCTTTCCAATATAGTTACTAGAAAACTGCAGCTTGGCTTGTGTATAGTATTTTGTGCTACAGCTACTTCCTTCACTAACCCTTATAGCAATATTACATTCTTTGCCCTGGCTACACAACCTCCATGACCCACACAAAGTCCTTATATGGCCTCATACATTATACTGACACATGGGAATCAAGGCCCAAAGACAGCAGATTCTCACTTCCAGATTTCAGCTCCTTAGTCAACGTTCTGGCAATATTCCCTCCCCAGAGATACCCTAGGGATCTGATGGGCTCTGCATCACCATTGTAGACCACAGCCAGACTATCCATTGTCTTTTGCAGACGAATCTTCTTCAAAATGTATGCCACTGTTTACTTCTAAATTACAAATAGAAGGGACTAGGATAGGTTTTTTGATTAAAAAAATGCCTGCTTCTTGGCTAGTGACTGTTACTTAAACCAGAATTTGGAAAATTTCTGCTTGTTGACCCAAGAAAAGTTTAGTAAGTAGGGAAAAAAAGAGGCAATCTAGAAATTAAGTAATAATACAAAATATAGCTAGAAGCAGAACAAGGAATGCAGAATTTCACAGGGTTTGCTGATTTTTGGGTCTATAAAGTTCTTGACACTGTTCCTTTTCCTACTGAAGGCTTCCCCTCATTCTTCAAAGTGTAATTTACTAGGGTGAGTATTCTGCTTAACTGTTTTCCCTCCCCTCAACTATGAACTTAGTCTTACCTTCCTGTTAAACAATACTCTGTTATTTTTGAAGTGGTGAGATCCTCAGACATATACCAAGTTTTTCCTTGGAAAAAGTTGTCTACCTACTTCCAACTTGTACAGCTAGGTTCTTAGAAACTTGGATTTCTGCTACTGTCTAGCTGCTTGAAGAGAGGAACTTTAATCTTATACCCTTATTTCTAATCCCTTGGATGCTCTGATGACAAAGCTTTGACTGCAGTAACTGAGTTACATTTCCTGGTGAGTTACTTCAGTCTGCCTCCCCCTAAAATACTGTTCATAGATTTCTAAACAGCACAAACACAAGACAACGATGATATTTTACAGTTTTCCACAAAGATTCAAGAAATAAAATGGAAAACAAGCCACTGCATATGAATTACTAAGTGTCAAGTGTCTGTGGGCATTCTCTTACTCCAGATGATGCTAGTTCCATTTAGTGAATTTACCTTGCAGGTCAGTTGCAGCATATATAAAATTAATAATTTGATAATGAGAAAAGCAAGCCAACTCTTTCTGTTTTTTCTGTTCAATGTGATTTTAATTTTATTCCACATGCTGGTCAAGCACAACTCAAGTCAACATGAATGTGTGGTACTGAGAGGGTGCTCGTTATTGAGGAACTGCATAGCACGGAAGTGAGCTAGAGGTGGCCAGATCCATATTGCGAAACACTGTTTTGGGTACATGCCAAAACCTATTACAGGTTTTCATGCCCTGTAACAACTGTTCAGGTGAGTAAAGAACTTGTTAGTCTTGAGTCATTTTTATAATATTTATTTTGAAAAAAAGTAATTTTAAAAAAAACTGATCCACACCTAGCTAATAAATCTTTAATGCTGCCATTATGTAGGTTGAAAGTGTACTTTGAAGGATAGGAGACACGTAATATTTGTCCCACCACTTTCCACAAACAGAAAGGTTGCTAATAGAGTGTCAAGGCTGTTAAAAACCATCTTTGAAGTAGATAAGAATGTGCAATACTGTTGATCAAGTAACATAGCTAGATAATAGGATGCAAAGAAATTTTACTTAACCAAGATTTACCATTAAGAAACCAAAAAGTTGAGAAGGAAGTCTTGATTTTGTTTACTTGTGCTATAATTTGTTTCCAGAAAACTTATTCTATAGATAATTATGGTTTGGATCACTTGTGGGGAAACAATAAAGTCAATACCTTCTGAATTGAATTCTTTAGATTCTTGTTGGCTAGTTATTTCTGACTTCTGTTCAAGTTCAAAGATCCTTCCAAGCAGTCCCCTCACATATGCTTCACGTTGCTGGTCATACAGTAGCCACTGTTGGTTTTTCTCAAGAGCCTTCATGAAAAGGAACAGAACAACAATTTATCAGATTTTAAAAGTATTGGTCTTATTTCTTTATAATGTTGAAGGTCATTTATTATACAGTTTAAAGATAAACTAGTTAATTCTGCAAATTGTAGTAATCTCTGTACAATAAATAAAACCCATCCTCATGTGGAAAGATAAATCAGGTTGCTGAGCATAACTTAAAATTGCAGTAATTTTAAATACTGATTGTCATCTTGGAATTGGAAAATGACTTAAAAACAAAGGCTTCCATGAGTCATGCCCAGATAATGAAGAATTAACCTTTCAATCTCAGATATAAGATATAACAGATCTTGAAAATTAAATAAAGTTTTACCATTAAAACTTAAAGTTTGGAAGAACAAGGACATGGATTTTATACCTGATTGGATCATAGAATTATTCAGGTTGGAAGGGACCTCAAGAGGTTTCTAATCCAACCTCATATGCTATTCCAGGCAGTGTCAGCTCTGCAGTCAGACCAGGTTCCCTGGGGGACCTGCTTTGTCGACAACCACTTTATTCTGATGTTCCAAGCACAGTTTTTCAAGGATGATGGAAATACTGTCTTTTTTCTTGCAAGTCCTTTTTTTACTTAAATTGTCTCATCACAGAATAATTTTAAATATTGTATTTTAGAGGGAAACATACCCTTGGAGGTCCCATACTACCCTAAAACATATATGGTGATAATTTACATTTTTATACATCTTGATACAGACTATTTGTACTTGCAGTGTTGTACAGGAAGCTTACATCTTTCAGTTGTTTTTCGACTTCATAAAGATTAGTTGGTGATCCAGTGCTGTTTCTTACAGCTTCCTGCAGACAAAGAGCAACCCATTAGTGTTCTATAAAATAGATGGCTGAAACAGTAAAGCTAGTGCTGTATAACTACTAATCTCACATAAATAGCATAAGAATGTTTTTTAAATGGAAAACAGATGCATACATGCGCCTTTTGTGTCTAAAGAGCTTTATTGGTTTGTTGGGGTTTTTTTGGTCTTTTTTTTTAAAAAAAAAAAAAAAAAAGGATCTGTTACATAGAAAACCGTTATAATTGATTTAAAATAAAATCTCCTGCAAGATACAGAACAAAGATTTACATTTAATCTATTCCATAACTCTGCAACTCATAGTTACAATAAAACATATCCTAAGAAGACTATTATGTGTCTTCTGCTGAACTGCTATCTTGTAAGACCTGAAAGGTGCTGGAGAGCTTCTGAAAAATTAAGATATTTAAAGTATTATTTAAATACACAAAAGTGTTTGTTCTATCTGTGTATCTTCATACCAGTCTGACAATAAGCCAGACCTATAGGAGTTGTTGGGAAAGCTAGAGACCTTGACAATTTCATTGGGATAACAGGATGATTGTAAACAACTGGGAAACCATGCAAGCCTGTCTGGAACCATAAGCACATACTGACTGATTTTCTGAGACCCAATCCATAGTAGAGTGCTTGAAGTATGAGTCAGGGAGGTCTTTAGATCTGTCTAAAACTAGAACACAGTTAAACAGTCACTGCATGATAAAAAAGCTTTTTTGAAATTATATAGATATAAGTCAGAGAGAACTTTAAGCAAATAATGTAGATTCCTACCCAAATCCAAGTTAAGTTTTTCCTGGGACTTTTGGAATGTGATATAGAACAAGCTTTATAAACTGCAAAAATACAGAACTTTGAATGCAATTATTAAACTTTAGTAGTTCCTAATAAAAATAGGATTTAAAGACACTACAACTGCTCTGATTCCTATTTCTATGAACATTAGAGCTCTGCCTCAGCAAAATCTCTCTCAAAATTGTCCTACAACTGTTGTTTCCATTTCAGAGTATACCTGCTGCTCAAATACCACCTAGCAGTTTCAAGAGCATTGCTAGACTTGCTTTCAAGGTTTTCAAGACATCCAGTCAAACACGTGCCACATTTTGTTCTCCTCTGTTGATAAATCAGTAAAGAAAATTCTGGTTTTAAAATAAAATCTACTTTGGCAGTTCACTGACAAAAAGATCATGGAGATCTTTAACATATGTTTTAAATTCTCCAACAAAGTTCAAAGTCTCTTGAAATTGAAAATAAACACAGTGCATTTAAAGTGGTATTTCCAGAGATACTGAATTATTGTGATACATAAATATATATTTAAAATTAATAGATTTTTTGCTATGTATTTGGCTAAAGCAGAATTTCTAGAAATTACTCAACTTCTGTGTAGAATGTGGGCAACTAGCACCATCTGCAGGTCAAAAGCTGAAAAAGACTTACAGACACTCACTTTTAGACACCAACTTCCCTTATTGAGATACTACTGCATTTTCCATGGAACATTAGGCAGGGGTGGAAAAACAACTGTAGAAAACTAAATGCACTTATAAAAGCTGCCAAATACCTGGCACCGTACCTATTAACCACTTTAAATGAGAGAAGCAACTCATTATTCCTGTCCTATCTTCTGTCGTGCTGAAGTATTTACCATGTGTGATGTCATGTAAAGTATAGGCAACTAGTTTCAACAACTGAGGAGCAAATGAGGATTCATAAGATAGGGAGGAGAAAGATATTCTCATGACTGAAGCTGAATTAGGCGAGGAGCTCAGTTTGTCTTTATTAATGCCCCATGTCTTTTTTATTGCTGCCTTCTCATTCTGTTTAATTACCGAGCAGACAAACATGAGAAGGGCATAGTATCTGCTTAAGCAACAGTGGATCATTGCATGTAGTTCCACAAGTCATACCACCTGCATGTGAGCTTCAAAAAGGGATCTTGCATACAGATAATTAGCCTCCCAGCTGTGTTGCCTATAGTTGTGCTCCCTAACTGTTCTTCATTTAGCATTCATTTAGCATCTGGATACCATCTCTACATACAAGAATATTTCAGCATGCAACGCAACTTGAAGGAAGATTAAAAATTCATCCTATTTAATAAAACAGATATTGGTGCTCTGTGGGTGTAAGCAGGTTAGACTTGGAATTTGCAATTACAATTTTTCTTCAGTGCTTACCTGCAATGACTGAGAAGTACCCGCTCTGTTTTCAAGCTCTGAACATTTTTCAGTAACAGTGGATAAATTACACTTTAACCGGTTCATTTCTTCCGATAGAGAACGAAGTAACTGTTCCCTCCTTTCTGCTTCCTTTGTTTTTTCCTCTAGTTGAGTTTGTAATAAGGAGGCTTCACTATTCTTGGTTTTGGACCTAAGTTTCTCTTTCAGGTCTTGGATTTCTTTGTCCTTCTCTCCAATAAGATGGTTGTGTTTTTCTTTTTCTTTTTCAAGGGAAAGTATTTTCTAAATGAAACAGAATAAAGAAGTGACAGAAATAATTGTCAGTTGATGCAACAAATGCATTAGCAAGTTTACAGCAGTTTGATAAGATACTTTGAAAGGTTCTTTTCACTTTTAATTAGCTGAGAATATTCCTTTTTACTCAAAATGGACAATACTATAGTGATCATCTGAAATATTTCACATGATAGTAAAAACAGTCTAAAGCAGATGAAACAAAGAATGCAAAGAACCAAATTTCACAGACTTGGTAGGTACTCAGTTTTGTATATGAATACAGATCACTACAGTAGATGAACCTTAAAACACAGCAATACAAGAACTCTAACTCTTCCAGTGAAGAGGTTGGTGATACATTTCTTAGTGTTGGTTAGCCTATTTAGTAGCTTTTGAGAAGCAGCAGAGCCTTCTTGCAAACTAAATGACAGTAAGTTACAAAAGAGTTAATAAAGCATTCAGGGGAAGGATCCTGTTTTCCAAATTATCTGGCCTTTTAGTTTCAAAATGTGATTTTTATCTGGCCTTTTAGTTTCAAAATGTGATTTAGTAGATATTTTCAGACATCCCCTTTTCAGTAGGCCTCCGGCACAGGTAATTATTACATAGAATTAGCATTGAGATACTTTGGTGCTCTATGTAAACTCTGTTGTGATAGCATTTAATTTTCGATGAGAAAGGTTGATGTTGAAATCCTACATGTTGACACGAAGTCATTAGAAGATGACAGAAACTGAAAGAAATTGAATGTTAGAGAGCCTCATTTACTGAGTGGTTGAAAACCACATAGCACTCACTAGAATTAAAATATTGACACCAAGTAGTACTTAGTATGCCTGTGATTTTCCACCTGTAAACTAGGAACCTAATATTAAGTAGCCAACACTGAGCAAGCAGCAAACTCCACCAGATGCAGCCAATACACTAAGGAATTTAGCCACAACAGTACGTGACCTGCCCAGCCGCAGCTGGTACTTGGGTTAGCACTTCTCAACTGACATTGTAACACAGACACAAGAAAAGCCTTGTTGTCAAAACAAGTAGCCTAGAAATATTAGCGTGCCTAGTCTCCACTAGTTGTATCGTTTGGAGAGTTCATTTAAAGTTTCCCAGTCCTGGGAAGCCTGGCAGTATGTGGCTTGGTCACACACTAAGTCTTGAACTTTTTTCTCTGCAACCACAGGTTTACCTTGAGTGGTCTGCAAGGCCTGAAAATTGCAGTGTCTTGGCTTCTGCTCTTTGATTGTAATGGAAGAATAACATGGTGAACTGTTTATGGTCTTATTCCTGTAGCTGAATGGGAACTTGAGAATATAGTTCAATCAAACACCGAGCACATTTTGGCATATTCTTAGACAACTGTTTGCAAACAATGTTCTTTGCAGGCCATTGTTCAAAATAATTCACTGGGACCAACTCTTCCAAACAGTTGCACATGTGAGGACGGGTTTTAATGGACTAATTGACACCTCTGGCCTCATGTCTTTGTATTTAACAGCCTCATCGGATGACTAACTTATTAGTTCGGTCATTGAAAAATACTTGAGAACAAAAACGTCAAACTAAAACAGTACAGACATCAAAGTAAACTGGGTTTTAAGTGGAAAGATTGTCATCCTGCTGACAAATTCTGACATACTCAGACTCACGTCAACCACGCACAATTAGGACATCACAAACGTTAGCTCGAGTACAAACGTCCACCTCACCTCTAGGAGCCCGTTCCTTTCCGGATCGGTCATTTTGCTTTTCCCTTTAACGACTTCCTCCATTGATTTTCTCAGGGCAGCGTTCTCCTGCTTATACTTCTCGAGATCACTCTCGGATCTAGAGTTACCCGATTTTAAGCCCCACTTGCCAATAATTATATCTTTAGCGGTCTTGGAATTCATCTTTAAGCACCTATAAAAAGTAAACGTAGCGTTACGGAACGGCAATCCCTTCTACCAGGGCATAACTTCTGACACAGTTTTAGCCGAGCGCGGGCAGCGCGGAGCGCCCCGGCTCCTTCTGGCGGCTCTGGACCGGCGGCGGGCGGCAAATAGGTCGGGGAGCGCCCCGGGCCGCAGCCCCTGTCCGGGAGCGGGAGCGGCTCCGGCCAACCCGAGCCCAGCCCCGCTTCCGGGAGTTTGAATCCCGCGGCTACAGTACCGTCACTTCCGTCCGGGCCGCCTCGCCGGCGACGCCAGAGTTACGGCATCTCCGATGGGCCATAAACGGTGGGTGGAGGGCTTGGGGAACGCTTCCGCGAAGACACCGGCGAAGCAGGCGTGGGCGGGGCTGGAAGGGCACGAGCTGCCCGGCGCTGGGCGGCCGTTAACGGCCGACGGGGAGCTGCCGACTGTTCCGCGGAATGCCTGAGAGAAGGCTCCCCGTTGGCTGGCGTGGGCGGCCGTGTGACCCGTCTGGCCAATGCCATGGGGCCGTACTTCTCGCCACGTCGTTTTTCTGTCCCGGTGCACGTGCTCGCGAGCAGCAGCTGGGAGGCGAGGGTTGCCCTACCCCGGCGCAGGGTGGCCGGGCCCTTCTGAGCCCCCTGCGGCCGTGCTTGCTTCCCCTTTGCGGAGCTATAATTAATTTTATCTTTTGAGGGCATTTCCGTTTTCTTATGGAAGAATGGGTGGTGGCAGGTGAGTGCTCCCTCACGTGGCTTGCCTCACCCTGCACAAGGCTTTAGGTCACTCACTTTTTGCATAGAAAAGGCGGTGGCTACTAGCTGCGTGGGGCAGCAAGTCTGGCCTATGGCTGTGGCTGTACACCAACTGCGGGACTCGTTTGTGGCTGGGATGGGTGAAGGTGGAAGAACTAACCATGATGCTTCAGCCAAGTATTCTAGGGCTTCTTAGTTCAGTGGCTTTATCCTCATTCCTTACTGAACATGTTGGCTTTAGGTTATGTGTTCTTCCTCAGAAATTCTTGTCCTCAGTTACCCAAAATCATTTTAGAAAAGAAGTAAGGTCCATCTTGGCTTCAGAAGTAGTAAGCTAGGATAGTTCGCATGTGACTATATAAAACTAAGCTGAGCTTTGTCCACAAAGGACCTGTTTTGCTTCATCTTGCTGGCTTCCCTTCACATCTCTACTTAAAAACATATTTTGCAGTGGCTTGTTTTTACATCTGGTCTGCAACTGAGAAAAACTGCTGTAAAGCTGAACATGGGGTAGCTCATAGCAAAGAGTTCATTTTACTTATGTAAGCTTTATCTAGTTTCATTTTAGTGGAGTCTACTGCATGTATTTATAGTAAGACAAAATATTCATAGGCCTCCAAACAGTACAGAGTGTTCTCATATTTTTGGATGTATTTCCTTAATTCTTTATTTTTACTTATGCATATATATTTCCATAATTTCTAAGGAGATCTACTAAATTCAGCATGCTAAATGCAGAACTTGGAGTATTCTATGTAAAATGTAGTTGTCCCAGAGCACAACTGCAGGGGGAGCACTTAAAACTATTTTTGAAGACGGTAGGTATTTTGTGATTATACGTTGACACAGAGGCAAGCAAAAAACATTTACAAACAAGTTCTAATAATTAAGAGGAAACAATATAAACTATTGTGAGATGTAATACATTGGTATACCGAGAAACAGATGTGATGTATCTCGAGTACTGTAGTTGTGCTTAATGTGCTTATTCTTGCCTTGGTTACTTATGAGAGACCATACAGTTTAAGAATAAAAGCAACCAAAAAAATCTGCACTCGTTTTTATACTGTGCCTTTTCTGTTACTGGATTTCACTAACGAGAGTTCTTTTTGCGCAGCAACACAGAACTTGGTGTCAATTTACACGTACTTCTTTTTTTTTCATAGCCTTCAGTAGCTAGTCTGTCATAGATCCACCCATTGACATTCTTTACTCTAAACCAGCTATTCCCTGCCTCCTCTTCCTGCTGGCATTTCAGTCTAGAAGTTAAGGAGTTTGAAACGTGAGACTTCCTGGAATTTCTTTGGTAATAATCGACATTCAGTCAAGATTGGAAACAATGCTTCGGGTGATTGTGGAATCTGCTACCAATATCCCTAAAACAAAGTTTGGGAAACCAGATCCTATTGTTTCTGTTATTTTTAAAGGTAAGGAAAACTGTCATAAATGTATTTAGGGAGGAGTTTTTCTGAAGGATAGTGCCCTATGTAAGTACTTGACAATGTGCAAAACCACCTTTTCCTTAAGTTACATCTGATGTACCTTTAGGGAAGACTTTTTAATTAGAGGCAGGAGTTACCTGGGTGAGGTTTGAACTGGGTGGAGTGCATTGGTCTTTTCTGGCCAGCAGTGCTTCTGTTTCAGGATCCACGTTTTACAAGCTTTTGCAAAGGCTTAGCACTTTGCTTTAAAACTCCAAATATTACTGCATAGATAAATCTACTTTTAATTATGGTATTGAAGATTATCTTCTTGTTTTCCATCTGAAAAAATAATTCTTCTGTCTTGATTACTTTGCACAGCCACTACTCACTGTTACACCGATTTTTATTGTGACTGGTTTATTGTTACTACCAGCATGTTGAAAAACAGTAGTACCATTACTGAAAGTGTTTGGATTTGTTTTGTTTGTTTTGGTTTGTTTTTTTAAACTTAATTGCACTTTAAAATTTTGCCTGATATTATTTAAATTAAAATAAATATTTGGAAGGAAACCACATCTTAACTTTCATTGTTCATCAGATAGATATATATATATATATATAGGAGGAGAAAACAGTGTGATAAAATTAGCATTTATATGCAAAACTAATTGTATTTTACAGTATATTTTACCTGTTGCCATCTTTTCCTCACTTGACTAGACAAAAGGAACTGGATTGCAAGTATTGGTTTATCTTTACAGTGCAGAAACCTCCAAGCAATTTTAGATCATATAATGTGTTCAGCCAAACAGACAAATGGTCATCTTAATTCCTGATGACCTGGTTTCCTAACTGTGTGCTGAAACAGCAGTGGTATTTCCAAAAGTATGAAAAATCATTGTAGGGGTTTGTCACCTTTAGAAACCAAATCTGAAATCATGACATTTTGCTGGAGGCTGGTAAAGGACAAGGCAGTGCACATCCAGTACTTTCAAAACAAAAACTTTTTAGATACTTTAGCATCAGAAAGATGTGACATAATTCTGTTTCCCTTCTTTTCCTCCTCTTTTTCAAGTTTGTTTTTCTACCCCCGTGTGTGTTAAGGCAAGTGGCTGAGCCTGTCTCAGTAGCTTTTGGAATTTCCTAATTCTTAAAATAGTGCTGTTACTGGTATACTGTAATTTCTCTGGTTTGTTCCATTTGTTTCTGCTGCTTCTTAAGCATTCATATTCTCTTTTCAGTTCCTTGTCTTTCTCTTTGCTTTCCTGTAACAGTTTTGCCTGTTACCTCTGTTCCTGCAGTTTCATACTCCAGAGTTGATTTATGCCTTTGCTTCTTTATGCCTTAAGTATTTGTTTAATTCCTCCTTGTAATCCTGTGTTCCTACTGTGTGCTTTAATGCAATTCAGTTTTACCTAGTAAATATAAGTTACAGATTTGTTTTTTTCTTCTGCATTGCTGGGTTTGCTTCTCAGTCCTTCAGTTATCCAAACCCAGGAAGTAGGCAACAGACATTAAAGGAATCAGTTTATACCTATCCTTTATGTGCTATAGCTGGGATTTTTAACATTCAGAAACATGCTTAACCATTGTCTTAAATACAACTTCATAATTGTGACAGTTTTTTAGTAGGCTATTTAATTTGTCATTGTACCTTCCACTTCTTTTTATGTGGTTTTACTACATGGCAACAGTCTGATATTTTTTGCTCTCTGTCCAGAGTGATTCAAGGGGGCCAGAAAATACCAGGCTTTTGTCAGCTATTGAGCAGATATGATTTAATTTGTAAGTGGAGTACGTAGTTGCCAGGTGCAAAGGCTTAGGGATCATATCTGAAATATATTGAACTACTGGCCATTTATGTTTACAGATGTTTTGTATATAAAGCCTGTTCCCCCTCACTCTGTTAGTGTGTAGAGATGGGAAACTGGTCTTACTTTTGAGAAGGTGTTATATCAAAGGCCGTCAGTCTTCAACAGTAGTCTCTACCCACTGCAGCTCCCAGAGGACATAAAAAACCCAATTGGGAGTTTATTTTCCAGACTGAGAAAAACTCAGGCATTTGCAGGACTTTGGCCATAGCCCTGCAGTACATTTGCATTTTTGATTCTGAAGTATTCTTGGAGAAGTCTCGGAGAACCGCACTCATTTGACAGAAAATTGCTGTGGAAGTTGACATTTCTTAAAACAGTGTTCTTTTTAATTAGTTTTTTCAAACTTTACCTTACATAGCTTTTGCTGATGTCAGGTTCGGTAATTTTAAGACTTTGATGAAGACACAGTATCTCTCAGGATTAGACCTTTACGGCTACACTGTGAAGAAAAAGGCCATGATCCTACAACTATTAGTATGTAGGTGACTCTGCAAACACATATGTTAACACACATATATTGGTATAGTTTCATGTATGTATATATTAGACTTCCATCAAAATTTTATAACTAGTTACAGACTATGCAGTCAGTACAATAAGTACAGTGAGATGTATTAGGTGCATACTAAGAGGAAATAGGCAGCTGTTTCTGTTGTGGTATCTTACTTACAATACAGGGGGTTTGTGCAAGGATTTGACTTTTTTTTACGCGTTTATGTACAGTCCAGTGGGACGGAGCTTTTATTTACTTTAAAAACAACTCACTGTTCAAAGAGAACTACACCCTGAGAGTAAACGAGTAGTGCTGTCTGGAACTGGATGCTGTTACTGCAAAATTATTAGTCATATTAATACAAAAAGCTGTTGCCACTTGAAGTGGCACTAAGTGGTAATGATTAAACCAGTACAGTTATTCTGGTTTGTCAGATATACTAAACTGGAGAAAAATGTGTCAGATTCTTGCCTTTGGGTGTAAAAATTGACACAATGGCTTATATGTGCAGGCAATGCTAGGACATTTGGGGCTTGGATCATTACTTTTGATTGCCTCATTCAGCTTTATGCATTAAAAGCTGATGTGAAATGGCATTCAGTTTGATGGGGCCAACTTGAGTAAAAATTCTTTTTCCATTTCTGCTTAATCTAAGAGCTTTCTAGCAGGCCTGCAGCAGTT